CCCTCTCCCCCTCCCTGTGCCTCTGTGCCCCTCTCTCCCCCTCCCTCTCGCTGTGCCCCTCTCCCTCTCTCCGTGCCTCTCCCCCTCCCTCGCGCTGTGCCCCTCTCCCCCTCTCGCGCTGTGCCCCTCTCCCCCTCTCGCGCTGTGCCCCTCTCCCCCTCTCGCGCTGTGCCCCTCTCCCCCTCTCGCACTCTCATTGTGGCCCCTCTCTTTATTGCTGTGTCCCTCTCTCACTGTGCCCCCACCTCGTGCTGTGCTCCCCCTCCCTCTCTCGCGCTGTGACCCCCTCCCCTCTCTCTGTGCCTCTCTCTCTCTCCCTCCCTCCCCCCACCTTTTTCTCTTTCTCTCTCTCTCGCTGTCTTTCCCATTGGTGTCTCCGTCTCTGTCTCTCCCATTGTGTCTCTGAGTCTCGCTGTGCATGTCTCTTGTCTGGAACACCTGCAGCATGGCTTGCAAACACTGGCACTCGCTCAGCAAGCCCATGAATTTGAAAGAGTAGCAAGGCACAGAAGAGAGGGCAAGGGGAGGGGTCCCAATGGTGTCGAGTTGAGAGGGGGTACATGACACAGAAGGGGGGATCAGGGCAGATGCAAGGCTCAGAGAGGGGATGGGGCAGATAAGAAATCATGTGAGTGAAACACAGCACCTGCAAGAGTGTGCGAGGAAGCAAGACAGGATAGCAGCAGAAAATGCAGGTGGTACACAGGCCAAACACTGGAGAGCAAACATTTCAACTACTAAAGACAATCTCAGGGTGAAACTGGAATTCATGGTCACGAGGGGATGGAGAGGTCAACCCCCTGTCCTACTCACAAATGCTGAAAAGGAGTTCGATACCATAAGTCTTGTTGCAGGTCCCAGTGACTGAGGGGCACGGCAGTATATTGTCGACAGTAGGTCACAAGCCACTAGTACCTGACCTTGGAAAGTTGCATCAGTGCTGTTGCACAGTCACCAGGTTGTCAGCAACAACCAGAAGGAAAACAATATGCCTGAGAATAGTACACAGACCATCTACGATTGCCCAGGTGCTGTTTTGACTGATTTGGCCAAAGTTCACACTAAATAATGATTGATCACTTTGTAACTGGCAAACCTGCACATCTTGGTCAGTGGACACAAGGTTAAAGTCTAACTCTGTTACACATTAACCGAAGGGAGGAGTGGAGCACAATAGTTCCTGCACCATGACTGCTGAAGGAAGCACAGCTGAACCTGGTTGCTGTTACTGTCAGAAATAATGTCCTGACCAGAGGGGAAAAAAATTAAGAACTTGAATCTGCAGTGTCCGCTATCAATGTTTGGACTTTACAGGCAATTAAGGACTTATGGATTTCTAAAAAGCAGCCTTTGCCATCTTAATTTAGCAAACAAAAGCAGTCATTCTCAGCACAGAATAGTTCCACAGCCATGTGATAATGTCCTGTTGATGCTAACATCTTTTTTCATAATGTTATATTGGCTGAGGTATAACTATTGTCCCAGGACAGGGAGACAAACTCACCTTTGCGACAGTAATCACAGTATCTTTTACATTCATCCTAGAGGACACTTATAGACTCAGTTTGGATGTTTCATCTGAAAATACAGGATTTCCTCATCAATGAGCTGAATTATCAGCATAGGGAGCCACTTTTAAACTTGTTACAACCAAACAAGGTTTGATGAATCAACTCCACTCTTTTTAAACTCTCTGTCAGTCACAACAAATATTTTTAATTCTTTCTAGCAAGCAGCTTTATTGCTCTTCATTTGAAACATAGAACAAGTCAAAACTAAGGAAGGTTTGAATGAATGAAAGAGTATTTTCTTATTTACTAACCCACGAAAAACAATAAAATTTGACATCAAACGCACTCGCACACACAGCCACAAGTGCAGGTATCGGAACAATGTTTAAAAATTTAATATGTGCTTGGTACAAACAGGAAGGTCAAGAATGTACAGTTTAACAAGAACAGGTGGTGTCAATCCTTAGAAATATTAAATTTTAACCTGTGACTCTGGTTGTTTAATAGATGTCCTGTATCCTCAAATAGTGGCAAATGTGTAAATACCCTTGAACTCTTAGTGAATTTCCAATTTGCTTCATCTTTGTTCACTGTTTTGACAGGCTGAGAAAAACAGGCTTTAACAGAGGCAGAATCTTTGGCTTATAGAGCCATACAGCAAAGAAACAGACCCTTTGGTCTAACCAGCCCATGCCAAACATAATCCCAAACTAAATTAGTCCCACCTGCCTACTCCTGACCCATATCCATCCAAATCTTTCCTATTCATGTACTCATCTAAATGTCTTTTAAACGTTGTAACTATAATCACATCCACATTCCTCATTCTACACACGAACCACTCTCCGTGTTAAAAAAAAAAATTGCCACTCACGTCTCTTTTAAAATCTCTCTCCTCTCACCTTGAAAATGTGTCCCCTAGACTTGAGTGAAAAAAAGTCTCAGCCTATCCAGCCTTTCTTTATAACTCAAACCCTCCATACTCAGCAGATATCCTGGTAAATCTCTTCTGGGCTCTCTCTAGCTCTATAATATCCTTCCTATAACAGGGCAACCAAAACTGGACACAGTATTCCAGAAGAGGTCTCACTAATGTCCTGTGCAACCTCAACATGACTTCCCAACTCCTTTGGGGGAGACGATGGCCTAGTGATATTATTGCTGGGCTGATTAATCCAGAGATCCAGACAATGTTCTGGGGACCCAGGTTCAAATCCCACCACAGTAGATGGTGGAATTTGAATTCAATAAATATCTAGAATTAACAATCTAATGATGACTGTGAATCCAGTGTCGATTGTTGGAAAAAACCCATCAGGTTCACTAATGTCCTTTAGGGAAGGAAACTGCTATCTTTACTTGGTCTGGTCTACATGTGACTCCAGTCCCACAGCAATGTCTGAACTGCCCTCTGGGTAATAAATGCAACCTAGCCAGCGATGCCCTCATCCCATGAATGAATAAAGAAAAAGAAAGTACTCAAAGGTCTGAGCAATGAAGGCAACTGTGCTAAATGCCTTTTTAACCACCCTGTCTATATGTAACGCAAACTTCAAAGAATTATGTACCTGAACCCCTAGATCTCTGTTCTACAACACTACCCAGGGCCCTAACATTAATTGTGTAAGTCCTGCCCCAGTTTCTTCTGTGTTTTAAAAATCCTTTTTCCTTCTCTGCTCTGGCCATAAGCTGTTCTCCTGAAATATACTGAACTTGGGTATTCCTACATCAGCTGTCATTGCTTTTATCAAGCTGGATAATGTACAGTTGACTCTCCCACAGAAGTGTGAAACTTCCCAGGAAGTACAATGGAAAAAAGTCAGAGATGAGGATTTCTTCACGTCTGACTGAGTTTCAGTGCCTTTTGATGAAATGTCAAATTTGGTTCATATTATCTTTGTGAATTTCATGACAGTTTCATGAGTTTGGCTGAACTGGACTTTTTCCAACTGTTAAAACCATTTTAAAAGTCCTAAATCAAAGTCTCAGGTACTAAAATCAGGTGATGGAAGTTGAAAATTATAAGTTAACTTTTTTGCTACTTGTGATAAATTGCTTTCATAGACTGGTCAGTTTAACATGAATGGTAGAAAATGTAATAGTATTTCTACCAATGGAGGAAATAGAAAAACGACTAGAAACTTAAAATACAATGCCACTGAATAGTCAGTTTGAATTTCAAAACAAAAACTTTTTCTGACACGAACTCATTCTCCTGATACAAGATTGGCTTGATAAAAGATTGATGAGAATTGGCATGAAGGCACATTTTCAAGGATCAGTGCTAGGGCCACAATTATTTACAATACTTATTAGTAACCTGGATGATGGAAGTGAATGTACTATCTTTGAATGTACAACTTTCCACTCAATGTAAAATACAGTCATACAGCACAGAAACCGACCCTTCGCTCCAACATGCCCATGTCACCAAGTTTCCCAAACTAAACTAGTCCCACTTGCCTGGGTTTGGCCCATATCCCTACATAGGAAGGCAAGTAGTGAGGATGACACAAAGTGGCTACAGAGGGATACAGACAAGTTAAGTAAGTGGGCAAAATCTTGGCAGATGTCGTGTATATGGGTGCAGATACTGTGAATGTTTTCGTTTTAAGAACTTCTGATGTAAAGGGGGAGGGATGTTGTGTTTTTGTGCAAGTATGGTGGACTGCCACTTTAAAAGTCTGATCATGTGACATATTGAAGATGTCATTTACTGTTTTGGGGCCAAACAAAACTCTCTTTCTAACCTTGCTGCCTGTAGAGTTAACATCTTCATTACAAAGCTCCCGCTGTTTAACAGTTTGGCCTTCTGGTCCTTCTTGGAGCTTACCAGAGGGGTACACAGTAAACATAGTTTATATAAATGTTCAAAAACACTTCAATGAGATACTGCATAACAGATTGATATGCAAGTTAAGAAATAAGGAGTCAGGGCACATGGAACCTTTTAGGTATGCAAGTATTGTAACTTCACCAGGCTGACACCCCAGTTTCACGTATGTCTGGCTTACCCTCCTGCGCCCTTCATTGAACCAGAGCTGATCTTGAGGCTGAATGATAATGGTAAAATGGGGGATGCGCTGGACCATGTGGTACAGAACATACTATGTACTTCCACAGTTCTGCTCACTATTACAGGACATAAAGGCACCGGACAGAGTGTAAAGAATTTACAAGGTCTTTACCAGAAATGCAACATTATACCTGTCAGGAAGAGACAAGCAAGCCAGGAAGGCTGAACAGAAGCACATAAAAGCTATGAAAGGTTTTGAACAGACTTTATTTCTCAGCTAACCTCAATGTATCATTAGCAGGAAATCAACTCAGTAATTCAGAAGAAACACATTCACTCAAAGAACATAGAACTTGATACTATACAGAGTGTTTGAGACAAATAGTAATGAAACATTTAAGGGAAAGCTAGATTATTGTAAAGGAGTAGAAAACAAGGAGTTATAGGCAAGAGACAAGGAGAGCAGGGTAGAGCAGAAATGCTGGAGGGGGACAGGTTGGAACAAACAAACTGTTTCGATGCTGCATACTTTAAGTAAATTCTATGTAATTTATAACACTGCAGATCTGGTGATCTCTCTTTCTTGGCAGGCAAACAGCCAATTTTACATGTCCACGTATTTTCCTGAATACATAACAGTCTTTTCCAATTTGCTTCACAGTTATCAACAGGTTTCCTGTTTAACTACGAAGAAGCTTTCAGCTTGTTCATCCCTTTCACTTTCTCTCTGGTGATCAAACAGGCGGTTGAGTTTGCTTCCTCCGCCTTTTCTTTCTCGTCTGATTAAATGCTTTGTTGCTTATCAGTTCTGAGAAGGGTTCTCTCTCTCTCTCTCTCCATCCTGAAATACTGACCCGCCTATCCCCCTTCAAGAAGTGCCAATGGAGCTTCCATGTATTTCCTGCTTATGTTTCAGATCTCTGGCATTTGTAGCTTACTCTTTTCCTGTGTCTTGGCCACTGCCTACTTTGCGCAAGGAGCTAAAGGCTAAAATGGTGCTGACTGTTGTTGCTGAATGCCAGCAACTCCATTAAAAACACAGAGCAAGTTGGTAGAGAGATCCTGAAAGGGCAAGGCTGCAAAGTGTGATCATATAAAAGTTTTAAGCAGCAGTTCAAATCCAACATATGGAGTCAACTACATTCCAGTCTGTAACTCACTCCCGGGTATCCATTACTCTATATATAAACCATCTGAACCCCTCGATTAGATTCCAGTCTGTAACTCAC